GCAGCGGAATCGGACTAAGAGGGGGTTGGGGAGGAACCTGGGCCAGTCCTGGAGTCTGGGGAAGGCTCGGATGAGGGCTCTGTGTTGGAGGAAGAGAGGAGGCCAGGGCCATATGCCAGTTATCAGCTGCCTTCAGAGTCAGACATCAGTGGGGCAGAAGAATAGCTGGAGCCTGTTCCCAGTGTGTGCATGCGCAGAGCTGACAGACGAAGGAAACAGCCAAAGAACAGGGGTCGACTTGGGAGTAAGGCCACAGGTGGACGATGAATGGCCCCTCCCAGAGGAACTGAAAGAGGAGCAAAAGGGGAGTTTGCAGGAGACCATTAGTTCGCTTATTTTGTGACTCTTCAAGACTCCTTGCCAAGTTTTGCAGATCTCGGCCTGGCAGCTCTCCAAGCCAGATAAGGTCTGTGACTGTAAATCCTCTCTTGAAAGACTTTGCTGGATGTGAATGGGCAGAATTTACATTCAATTAATAAAAGGGGTTTTTGTTGGGACAAGGAGTTTGCTTCAGGCTCTCGGGAAGCCTCGGTCAGAACAAGGTTTTATTCCGCCCCCCAAAAAAAATAGGCCGGTAGGACCCCCCCCCCCCCCTTTTTCCCCCCCCCCCCCCCCCAGCCATACTAGATTTGAGAATGAGGAGATACTGAGGAGCTCTTATCTAGAGGTTAGCTTGCATCTCGAGAAGAAATAAAGGAGGACCTCAAAACAATCCATAAATGGCCTTCATCCACAGGCATTTCCATCTGAATATTTGCCTGGTTTGACGGATCCCTCAGTACAGCACCAAGAGAACCACTGAGGACGACCTGTAGCAAGTTGAGTGCCGTTGGATCAGAGGTGGCCATCGCCAGGTATGTTCTCATCCATCATTTTATGTCTTCTGTGTAGTTTTCTTGGTTTAAAAAAAAAGATTCATCGTTGTCTTCACATACTGTGACTTGATACCATAGTGGAGGGGCAGCCAGAGCTGGGAGGTGGAGTTAAACAAGTCATCAGCCTAGAGTCATTACATCGCCACAAGTCAAGTCCCCTTGAATTCCATTGACATGACATTCTTGTGCCATGTCCGTCATCGGATGTTAGCGGTCCTATTTTTATCAACAGCCGCACGAAAAAGCCCTGCTGAGTTTTGTCCAAACCGGTCACTCAGATTTTGAAGCCCTGATGATGTTCTTCTTCTGCCTGGACCTCATTTACTTTCAATCTTTCCCTGGCGGATTAAGTGACGGATGCCGTGTTTTTCCAGGTGTCGCATCACAGGTCCAAAACATTCTAACTTTAGCTTTTTTATGGTTCTGATGATTTCCCTTGGCTTTCCCAGGGGGCTTATCCCCTCCTCCTTTCTGACTTTGTCAACCCAGCTTCTACCTATCAGCCGCCTGTCAATCCACATTTCAAAGGCTTCTGGTGTCTTCAAGGGGTCCAAGACCACCTCTCCCCTCCGTAGAGCAGGATAGAAAAGACGTAGCATCTGGCAAGCATCCGATTTTCAACCTTGGGTTTATGTCGTGACTTCAGAAGACCTTTTTCATTTTGAAGAACACTGTTCCAGCTTTCTCTATCCTTGTCTTTACTTCAGTGGTCATGTCCCAACTTTCATGGAAATTAGAACCGAGGGATGTGATCCTTTCGACTTTTTCTAGTGGTATTCCTTCCCAAGTTACTGACTCGTAGCTGGGGCCAATTTAGTGCTGAACTCTAGTTGAGGAGATTCTTGTGCTTAAGCCTGAACAACAGGGTGGATAAAAATCAATGATTTAAAAAAATAATAATCAGATTTTTAAAATTTTAAATCAGATTTTTTTAAAAATTTAAATTGGATTTTTTTTTAAATCAGATTTTTTAAATTTTAAATCAGATTTTTTTAAAATTTAAGTTGGATTTTTTTTTTTAAATCAGATTTTTTTTTTATTGCATTCATTTGAATAAAATGCTTTTGGAGTAAAAATCTATCTAAAGGTAGTTTTCTGTTTCAGATACATTAATAACTTAGTTTATTCGGCA